GGTTATTTTATCAAAAACGTAAACAAACTGTGGGCATTAACCCCGGCAAGTTTGTGTTTACCAGCATAATATGGTGTTGCTGCACCACTCTTCCTAAAAATACAGACTGCATGTTTTTTTTTCCCAGCCCAGTGTAGCAGAGTTATGCCTGGAGCTAAAGTCTCTCGCCTGTTTCCCTTCTACTCCAGCAGAATTTAAATTATTCCTGCTCCTCCCCTCATATTCCATATTCTCTTTGAAGCTCAGAGTTGGAAAGGCTTTTCAGTGTTTGTAGCTCAGGGCCCGACTATTCACTTTCTGAGTTTTAACAAGCACCAACCATGGCTTCTGGTGGAGAGAGAGGTTTTGAGATTTACGGTTGCATGGTGTTTTTTGTGTGTGTGTATGCATGCCTGCTTGTCTTTCTTGTTTTGCTGTGTATCCTAGTGGCGCAATGCGCAGGTGGAGCTCTCTCGTGAACTGAGCGGGCGGGTACCTCTGGGCTGCAGCTGGACCCTGACCCTCTCAATCAGACACATTTCCTGGGAGCGTCGAGACATGAGCTTGCCGTATCATGAGCCCCACCTTCATCTGAAAATTATCTATAGATTTCTTTTTTGCTCTCTGCAGTATCCCTTGCCTCTTCAGTTTGAACAACCTTCTCCACCCAGTGAGTCTATGATGCAACACTTCGATTTGTGATATGTGAAGAATGTTGACTTTCTATATAACAGATTTGCACTGTCTGTACTATTGTGCTTGAAAGAATTTCCTAAATGATATACCCGTTTTCTCCTTCTTCACAAGCACCAAACAATTAATCTATACTTTTTTTCCCATTAGCTTTCCATCTGACTTAATCTCGTCCCTGTAGTATACTGAACACAGTTGCAAAATAGTCATGTTTTCTGCTATAGGTTAGAAGTTTTAATTTTTAGTAGTTCTTTATGTTTGCTCTGTTTATTCCTTTTTAGTTTTAACATGACATTAAAGGTCAAATCCTGCATCCCTCTTTCCCCCCGGTGCTTCTCAGACGATCTTAGGAATGCCATACTTTATGAAGAGTTGACTTTTGGATTTTGGAATTGTGAAGTGAAACAGCGATACACCCCTTCATATTTTAAAGGTGAATTTAGCCAGGCTTCGTGGATTATTAAAGGAAGAATAAAAGAGCAGTCTGCCGTCTGAGGGGTTGAATGACATTCTCTGCCAGAAATCCCACAGAATTGCATCTGCACACAGTTGAGGACTTGGCCAAAATGGGGAATAAATAGCAAGATGATAACAGTGTTACAAATGGAGTATTTCTCTCTCTTTTTTCCTTAATCTGTTTCCATCCATAATCTCATTTTCAAGACCGTCCTTGTTCCTCCCTGACTCTTCCCAGGGCTTGCAGGGTGTGTCGGATTGATGAAGACAGCACCTTGTCTGCGCTTGGACAAACCAGGTGGCAGTTGTGTTCTTGTGCTCGCAGACCCTAGAGAAAGCCTGTGTCAAAGAGGACAGTCCTGCTAGGGACAGCCAGTGCAAGCTTTTTTTGTGTCTTAATAGTGGAGTGACAAATTCTTGTACTGTTGCAACTCTGCAGCTGCAATAGAGAGACCTTTGAGAAGACTGTAACATATATAGCAGTGTAATAGGCTATTGGGTCTCCATGTGCAGCCAGGACAGCCTGCATGCACTGTGGCATAGAGTCTGGAATTCTGTGTGAGGGAGACGGCACCATTCTTCCATGAGAAATTCAATCAACTCGCGCCTGGCAGATGAACGAAGAAAGCACTGTCTCAGAAGATCTCACAAGGGCTAAGTTAGGTTCAGATCTTATGACTTAAGAAGGCCATGACATGTGGAGAACATCATTCTCAGGCTCATCAACCCACTGGGTGACCACATGTGCTCTGTGGATGGGTACATTGCCACCCTGGAAGACACTCCTCCTGGCAGGAAAGAAATGCTGCAACATGGGTTGAATCACTCCACACCTTTGACCTTGCCTTCTCAGGGAATGAGTGCACCAAAATCATGCTAGGAAAACACACCATTGCAGAACCAGCAGAACCCTCCAGACAGGCTCTGTGGGTAGGGGCTTTGTCATCTTGGAAAACACTCCTCCTAACAGAAAATGTGGCAACATGGGGTTAAGATGATGTTGTACTGATTAGCTTTGACCTTTCATTCTCAGAGAATGAGTGCACTCAAACCATGAAACTATGCCATAAACATGCACCCCACAACAGAGCTATCAGTACCCTTCGTTGTTGGAATCAAGCACATTTCTCTACAGTCTCTTTGCCTGAGCTCTTTTGCACCACTGGACTCACAAACATGCATGGTCAGCTGGGAGGAGAGGTTTGTGCACTGCAGCCCGCCTAAGGTATCCTTGGTGGACCAATTTTGATGAGACTGGCTGCTTGTATCCCCAGTTTGAAATTTGCAGTCAGTTGATCCGTAGTTGCGTGTCCGCTTTGTCTTGCACTTCAAATTGCAAATAAATTTCTGAAGACAGAATTGAACTCCAGTTTTTGTTTCTGTTCTTTGTGCTCTTTCATAACACCACAGTGTTGCATGCTTTTCTAATTAACTGGTTTACATGAACTTTCAAGTGCCGCTTTCTGTGTGCTTGTAAGTTGGCACGGCAAGGGATGTAGCCTGTTGGTTGTGCTTGATAGAGAGCAGTATTTTTGGAGTCTCCCTGCAGATCTGTGGGAAGCCATGGAGTGCTTCCTTTCTGTTTTACCTGGGCCAAATCAGCAGGCCCCTCACCTCAGATATTTGTTATAATACTCCAATAGAGATTTAATTGCTATAATGTGTGATTACTTGTCAACAGATCCTGCTGGGTCATTATTTCTACCATCATATACAGCAGTCTGTGGTAGCCGGTCATGCCAGGGGGATTTCTTGTCTAGCAGTCTGCAAGTGAATGATAGTTCAGTGTTCAGGACCAGAGCCTGATCAGTCATGGCTATCACTGATGAATCCGATTAGTTTTCTTAATGCTCAGGAGCAATTTCCATGTGTCCTGCCAGTGTCAAGGTTATCAGGAACTGATATTATCAGGTTCTGGGTTAACTATTTGGCAGTCTGATGTGTTGGGCAGTCAAATTCATGTTCAAACCAGATTTTTCAGACAGGTCAAAAGTAAATACTATCAGTCATTCCTAGAATTTATACAGGGCATTGTACTGCTTTGCTTGATGATAAGCTGCTACTCACTGCTGGGATTTCAAAACCAGCATTTTCTCAATATTTTCACTGGCTGCACCTCAGCAGGGGTAGCACACACTTATTGCCAGGCATGATAAAGTGGTTAGAAGGAGTGGCATTTAATTGTTTGGAAATACAAGCAGTTTTGAGCATTCCAGAGTTTGAGTTTTGTTTGGTGGCTCAATGCATAGTTCTCTGTAGATCAAGAATATTAAAAAGAGGCCTAAAATTGTGCCTCCAGGTACAAGGCGACCCTTTGCCAGTCACGGTCACTCACATACTGTGTTCTGATACTGCAAAAAGAAGAACAGATGAATGAAATTAGGGCAAATCTCTCCCTTTCTTGGTCTGCTTGAGTCTAGACATTTTGAAGCATTGTATTATCGTTCTACATTCATACTATTAAAAATGTCCCTGAGCAAAGTTTTATTCACTCAGGCAGTAGTGTATTCTAAATGTTAGCTTTTTTTGAATGTGCTTAACGTTTACTGTCTGGTGTATCTGCCGGTTCATGTTTGTCTTTACCATTACATAAGCAAGCAATGTCTAGCCTGCAGATTAGTGTGGAGAAAGTAGTTTTACTATGGGTTTCCATAGCTGTGTATGTACAGATGCTTTGAGCACTGGTTTGAGATACAGCTCAATCTTTGCATGGTGGTACAGGGATGCAGTAGTGTTACCACCTCTAAATTAGTCTCATCAGATCTTGGAGGCTAAGCAAGATTGGGCCTGGTCGGTACTGGTTTAGCTCCAGGGAGCTCTTACTGCTACAGCCTGGTTGTCTTGGTTTCTCTCTAGATCAGGATTTTCAAATCAATTGTACGAAGTGCCATCTTTCAGGTGATAGGTTGAGCTGAGGTCTTGACCAGTTGGCCATTAAAGATTTCGTAAGAGTAGTGGTAGTAATGCTGGTGTCTTGGGAGAATCTCAGTCTGGGTTGGCATGATCTGGACCACCTCTGTTCTAACAAGTGCAGTGTCTCACTTCTCCATCTGATCTCCTGTGTGACAGGGCTGCTGGTGCAGAATGGCAGCCATGCAGCACCCAGAGTGGTGCTGTGGTGGACGAGGTGGCTCTCATCCTCGGTGTAAAATGCTTTTGGATCCTTTGGAATGTTAAGAGCTAAAAAAATGCAAGGAATTATCATTGTGCTATATGAAATTATTGAGTTGCAGTCTATATTTTGAAAGGTCCTTTTGATACTTTGCCACCCAAAAAAGAACTGCAGTATTACAGTTTTCTTGCAGCTCATTAGTGTCACAGTAAGCAACTTCTGTCTCACAGCAAGTCCTCCAATTTCAATTCTGGCCTTCGGCATCTATCTTTTAGGAGTTTGCATGGTCTCACCATTTTTTCAGGTGTTTTCACTGGGTGCTTTAGTTTCCTTCCATCTCTCAAAGACATGCTGAGTGAGTACGATCAGATCCTCTGACTTGGCTCTTTCTGCACTGTGATTGACTCTGTGATGGATGGGAGTTGCTGAAGGACTGGAGTCCTGCTTTGTGCCTTAAGAACATTTAAAGGTTACAACGACAATCCCATTAAGCCCATTTGGTAAACGAGATAACTGTTATGCTTCTGGGATAGGCTTTGTCTTAACATGACTCTCAAATGGAGTAGTGTCTTTCTGACAACAGATGGATTATGATTGCACCCCATAATGAAATAGTTTGCAAAGGAACCTGAAATAAAAAAAATCATTATCAACAAAAGTAATTACACAAGTTTTACGTTTATGATGTTTTTTAATAAAAATAAGTGGAAGAAAATCACTGAAATGTTTTATGTATATTCACTTACTCTTTTTCTTCCAGCAAGATGTTGAGAAGTTTACAGACATCGAAAAACTCTACCTCTACCTTAAGTTGCCTTCTGGTCCCAACAATGGCAATGACAAAAGGTAATTTTGAACAATGATATTTTTGACTAACCTTACTGTTTCATGGTTGTGTTAAGTAATAACCCTTTATTTAGAGTATTATAGGTTGCCGTTTGCCATGTTGCCATTATATTGTTTGTTCTAGGACTGATTTTTATCACTACAGTGATGGATACACTTGTTAGACTTGATAGAATTGTTTTTCCTTCTTAGATTATTCTTTAAATAGTTTTTAAACTTAAAAGGTTTGGGTAAAGCTGTTCTTGCTGTTAGATATGTATCATAATTTATTTGGTCACCAAAAAGAGCAAAATTAAGGGCTTTCTTATTCTGCAAAAGTATAAGTCCTTCAGTTGTATGCCATACTGATGTTGTGGAATATTTATTTGTCATTAATTGTATATAGAAAGTGATACTTAAACAAGTAATGCCCGTGTTTCATTATTTAAAAGGAACAAGACAAAAATATAGTGAAAAAATCAGGAAGCTGAAGAATACATCACCTCATGTTCATTGATTTGTGAACATTTCAGTTGTGCATTTTAAACCTATCCTCACAGCACCACCTTCAGCAGGTTGCTGCTGAGATTTAAAACACTGACATTGTTTTCCTGAATGTGAACCACACCCCAAGGGAATGCTTAACTGATGGATTTCTTTCATTATTGGAGTTTGTATTCGTTAGCCCTATTTCCCTGTTTTTCATGCTGTACACTAGTACCCCCAGGCTGCTAACGAGGTGCAGTTGTCTGTGTATATAGTGGGGAAGTACATAAGTGGACCAGGCTGGTCTTGTCTGCAGTGTGCATTGTCACAAATTGTTACACATATTTTTCACAGTTCCTGCAGCCACCCTTTGTGGGAAGTATTTTATTTATTAATTACTCAGCTTTTTTCCTTTTCTTTGTGTCATCTCACTTCTCCATTTCATCATTTATCCACTAGGCCTGAGAGTCAGAAGTGTCCTCTAAGCCTGTCTGCTTAAGTATGGTATATTCCTCTGCCACATCATCCCAATGTCTTCTGATCCTTGGGTGCATGACTGTCAATTCCCCCAAAAACCAGAAATGTAATTGCTCATATCTTTCAGAGTGAAGATCCGTGTGTTTACGATAAAAAAAACATCTACAGTATTTTTAATATGAAGCTTCTATGAAGCTCTTTGTCTCGTGATCATTTTCAGAAGATTGCATAGAAATCCAGCTAATCTTAGCGCATCATAAGCACGACAAAGGCTTTGTCATCCCAGCAGTTATTGTTTGCACTCACGTCACAATCAATCAGATGGAGAATGAATGGCAGACATAATCAGGATCATTTATGTGGTACAGATGTTTTTCTTTTGAAGTACCATTGAAAAGTTGTGACCTTCTCTCCAAATCTAAGGTCTAGGTTGTCTCTCAGACATTCAACCTGGCACATATTGGTTTCATAATGTGCCTTTTTTATAAGCCCTAGACAAAAAAAAGGGGCTGTGGCTTCTTGAAAGTGCTTGTCGGTAATATTAAAAAAAGAACTTTGCCAAAATGACCTACATGAGCATTTGGAAGTTTGGAAGAACTAGACCCAGTAGTTTTACAAAATACCAGTAAACGCCCTATAAACCTGTCCTCTCCCACAGTGATCAGAGCTCCATGTCTTCAAGCCGCACACAGCAAATGCACGCTTTCAACTGGATCCGCAATCACTTGGAAGAGCATCCAGAAACGTCTCTTCCCAAGCAGGAGGTGTATGACGAATACAAGTGAGTGCTCATTAACCACCATTGCAGGGTTTAGGAGCTCATAAGTAAAAACAGATTATTTAAACCTTTCTGGCTGGGCAATCTGTGTAGACAGCATTAATTATTACAGGATGTAGTTTTGCCCGCTTGGCCCGCAGTGTCTGTGCCAGCTGCTTCTCTTGTTTGGGTGGTACCAGTGAGAGAGCCCTACCTGCCTGTGCTGAAATCAAGGTTACATACCGCAATAGGAGAATGGAATTACAGAAACTGATGTGATCTGATTTGAGATAAAAACCTGCAAGAAATGCTGTGTGTACATAAATACAAAAATATTTTTAAATATCACATGAGAGGTATATTCCTTTTGTTCCTTTGATGAGCAGTAACTGAATACATTCTGCTTCTGCATGAAACAGTGGTTTCTGTTCTGTTTGAGAGTCTTGTGAGGAAGGAGTCTTTTTACTAATTCTTCTTCCTGTCCCACAGCAAATGTTTTACATATAAAAGGGTGTGCTAGAATATTTTTCTACCCAATTTAGGTGAACAAACCAGAAATAAAAGCAGACACTGAAAGTGTGCCACAGGTTTTTAGTGCAAAACACAGCAAATTGTGCTGAAATGTCTAGAATTTTCTAAAGTCTAGAGCACCTTTTTATATATTTTTTTATTTTCTTTCCTAAAAGGAAGTGTTCATGCTGAAATTAATGAGTCATTTATGACATTTTTTATATTGTCTTTGCCAGAGTATTGTTTAAACTCGTGTGAGTAGTCACCAAAACACATGTAACAGTTTGTGTTTTGTTTCAGGAGCTATTGTGACAATCTTGGCTACCATCCACTGAGTGCAGCAGATTTTGGAAAGATCATGAAAAATGTCTTTCCGAACATGAAGGCACGCCGTCTGGGCATGAGAGGCAAATCAAAATATCCTTCTCTGGAACTGGTTTCAATAATCCCTCCCCCTCTGAACTTGGTGGCATAACATCTGTTGTTGCAGTTCATCTAGACTGTAAATATAGAACTAAAAATCAACATATAAACCATTTGCCTCAAGGAACTTGCTGGGCTACTGGGGCAATTAGGAAATCTGATTATTCTTAACATTCTTCTAATGTTGCTTGTCTGAGTTGGTATTTCTAGAAATCTGTGTGTAGATTTTTTCCTGAATGCAAATCTTTCAATTTTGAGGAAAACGACACATTTTAGAGTCGTGTGGGGGTTTGTTATCTTTCGATTTTCTCTCTTTAAGAAATTATGAGGGTAAAAGGGGGGGAATTGTATGTAAGCATGCAAATTTTATTTTTACACATACACATAGCGTTCTGAAATAGATCTTGTTTGTTTTACTGGTTGCAATAGCAACTGAAATTCAATACAAGTCCCATGTAAATCAAACCAACTTTGCATGTTTAGTGGTGTAGCTTACAGAAGAATATAGCTGTCTTTTTTTACATCTGAATTTATACTTGCGCAATAACACTCTAGTTATGACTCATTTGAAGTGATTGCACCGACTGCATTTGGGTGTCTTATTTTGTCAGTGCTCTGTCCTCGTTATATCTCATCAGTCACACCTCATTGATTTGTGCTATTCTTTGTAAAACAAATGACATTTTCAAGTTAAAAGTTGTAGGTCTTCAGCTGTGTGCCTGTGTCGGTTTCCAGCTGTTGATGCTAAGGTAATTCATCAAGTTGCACACCTGAGTCAGACCTGATATATTGCTGTGAAGTTTGCTGTGGCGCATCTGACAAAGTCAGCTATTTAACCTTCTGTGAAGATCTTAGTGTAGATTATGAGTAGCCACTCTTCTGTATAGACTACACGGTCCATCACTATGGCTTCTGTGTCCTCTAATGTTGTTGTTCACAGGAGGTTTGGCCAGTACACATCATTGCAAAAGTTTATTCTTGGTTATTTATTACTATTAAATTAATCTGCACCAACTGGGTCAATTAAGTAATTAAGGACCTATAAAGGAGGTGTAATACCAATTGGTTTAATGTCATGGAGCAAAACTCCAGCATAGAACTTCCAAGGTTGCCTAATGAAAGTCTGAGGTCTTTAGCTGTAAAGTGTTTTGGGATCGTTAGTGAGGCTCTCTGTGTGAGTGATGTCTGGCTCAGTAATAGGTGTTAAAGCCCTTGAGTGCACTGTGCTGTGATTGGCACCTTGCATCCCTTAAGCACTTCCTCGGCTTTTTCTTGTTAGCTGTGTCAGACTTCTGTCTGCGCACGCTGGTGCAGAAAGCATCATTTGTTAAACACTGCAGTGGCATATTTTTCCTTTTTTTAGTACAAAAACAAATTATTCGGCAAGCAGCTTTCAGAGGACCTGTATGCTTCCTTCAGCTCTTAGGAAGGACCAGATGTGCCTCTCCCTTTTCTCTCTGGGCGTGTATTCTTTTTCTGGGGTTTTGTACAACTTTTATGGTATCCATACAATGATTTGGGAATCGGTGGTGCTGCCCTAGAGTGTATTCGACCTTAACTCTTTGTCACGTACTGCTACAGTGGACTGAGGAAGAAGGCTTTTGTCCACATGCCATCTTTGCCCAATTTGGACTTCCATAAAACAGGTGACGGGGTAAGTTGAGTTACTTCCTGCACAAGGGTAGTGGTTGTACCTCATTGCTCAAGCCCCTGGTTGAAGATGATTCCTAAGAAGTATTGGGGCCCGATCTTAAGGATGGAGAATGAATGCGGCACAGTGGCTAAGTGGTTATAATTGCTGCCTCACAGCGCTGGGGTCCTGGGTTCAATTCCAGACCTGGGGTGCTGTCTGTGCGGAGTTTGTTTGCTATGTATGTTTATGTGGGTTTCCTCTTGGTGCTCTGGTTTCCAGTCACACTCCATAAACACACTGGTGGGTTAAATGTTAATTGGACTGGTGTCCAATCCAGGGTGTAACCTGCCTTGCGTCCATTGCTTGCTTGGGATAGGCTCCAGCTCCAGTGACCCTGAATTGGATGAAGCGGTCATAAACATGTTTGGAACATGATTGGATGGATGGATGGATGGATGATGGAAAAGGTGAGAAAATAATAGTAATGGTTTATATAACTAATGGTTGAAGAAGTTCTGGTGGGTAGCCGCGCCAGCATGCGTAGGCTGCAAAGGAAAAAGTCATAAGTTTATTCCGTGCTGAAAAGAGAAGAAAAAACACAACGTCACCCGAAGAAGGCTCCACATCAGAAACGTTGTGTTTTCTTTCTTCTCTTTTCAGCATGGAATAAACCTATTACTTGGTCCTATATAACTAATGATAACAGTTACATGTAATAGCAAGCATTTATACATAATAGCACAAATGACAGGAGAGGCACTGCAGCGGAGGGAGGTAGTGCTCGGGACTGAAGGCCTCTGTGTTTCCCAGTGCGAAGTGCTGGAGCCCTCGGGGCAGCTGCAGAGCGCAGAGGAGGAGGTGCGGTCGGCTGCCTGCGGGCTCGTCTGCGAGTGGGCGCAGAAGGTCCTGAGCCGGCAGTTCGACTCCGTGGAGGACCTGGCACACTTCCTTCTCAACAGCCATTACATTGGTACGAAATCGGTGGCAGCTCTTACCGTGATGACGGGGGCACCCACAGGTGAGACGCTCACACGTGCTTCTCTGGTTCAGGCTCACTTACCCTGCACGCCCAGTGGTGCGAACACACCTGTTGGTGAGAAGCTTGGCACCACTGAAGGTAAAACCTCACCCAGGGATGAGGGATCACTGAGCACTGAAAACCCAGACACGAAACGACACTGGTTTTCAGTGTTTAAAGTGTTGAATGTTAAATGATGCTTGAAATCTCTCTTGGATTCTCGGGTTTGCAAACAGTAGTACCTCTGTAGTATATCATTTACGAGCTAATTGACAATTAGTGTTCCACTTTTATACACGTGAAATCTCAAACGCCTCGGAAGGACATACAAAATGGACATGCATTCCTTGTTCCACAGTAGTAGTTAATTTATAAACTTTAACCTTGAAAGGATGGTTTATATTAGGGGAAGAAAGTGTAGTGATGAAAGCCAACAGGTGAACCGAACCTATAAGGGCCGGATATACAGGGAAACTGCTGAGTGAAGTCTATAGCCAGGGGACTTACAATGTTCTTTTGGATTCCAGCTTGTGTAAGGTTAAACTGCAGCCCAGTATCCATCCAGTGATTTTCCATGTGAAGCTCTTTAGCAGCTCTTTCCAAAACACACCAGCGAATACACCACTATTTGCAAAGTATTAACAGTGGAGTTTTTTGCATTGCAAAGAAATTGAACAATTTCAGATTTTATATATACTGTATATAAGATATAAAACAATATTCTGTAGGTTCACATCATTTGCCTAGTAATATCATTTTTATTTTAAACCGCTTTGATTCCCTTTATTACATTAACTAAATTATTTTTCATCTGCTGTTACCCTTTTGGTAATGTGACTTTGAATAAAACTCCTTTAAATAGCACTTTAACCAATAGTGTTTTTTTCCAGTCCAGCTTAAGTGTTCTTTGAAAAACATTGAAAACTATTTCAACACATTTTAATTGTGGTCACCAAAATCTTAATAGCAGAAAATGTATAAGCAAATTTGAGGAAAATGATATGTCCTGTGGAAATCTGTTCTGCTAACTTTGCTCAACAGACTATTACATTATGAAGTTGTCTTCTAAAATGGTATATTTCCATCTAGTGGTTATCACCAGAACTTCAGCATGACTATGAGAACATTTCATGGAAAATTACTTTGCACACTACATATAATAGCATTTGGAAATGTCGCTTGATTTTTATCATATTACAGATATGCTCTTTAGTGTCAGTTTTCCCTAAATTAATTTCATTCTTTATGCTGTGACCTCCACCAGCTCACACTTTTTAAATTAAACTCCTCTGTGAAGTGCATCTTGTTTAGCTCAGGCTGTCTCGCTTTTTGTGCAGGGGTTCCCGAACAGCGGTGTTTTCGATAAAGGAAAAGTGAAATCCCTGTTGTTTCGTCCATGCAGGGTTGAAGACGCCTACGCAGGCTTCGGCGTTTGTGCCAACGGCTGAAACCAATTCATTCCAGCCCCAGGTGAAGACCCTGCCCTCTCCCTCGGTGGATGCCAAGCAACAGCTGCAGCGCAAGATCCAGAAGAAGCAACAGGAGCAGAAACTGCACTCCCCTCTGCCAGGGGAGGCCCAGGGAAGGAAGGCAGATGGTGGGGCGCCAGGTGGAGCGGCCACTATTCCAAGTGGAAGCCCAGCACTGCTGTCCCCTCAGCCAACGATTGGCATCGTTGTGGCTGCCGTCCCTAGCCCCATCACGGTAGCGTACCACCGTTTCTGCTCTCTCTTCGAGCCGTGTGATTGGCTGATCACAGCCTGCGTTGGAGTAATGTAAAGATGAAGGTGCATTTCTGATGTGAAGTTCCCACTAGCCTCGGTTTTATCTTCTGCTTAGCCTTTTCCTATATTTTTAGTGGTCCTATAAAGTGAGATGACTCTTTGACACCTTGCCGAGCTCCGAAATGTGAAAGGGGTTGTCATTATTCAATGTGTTGTCTTCCTTCTCTGTTCTCTCTTTAGGTTCAGAGGAGCAGACAGCTGGTAACCTCACCGAGCCCTGTGGGTGCTGCAGAGAGCAAAGTCCTACCTGTGAACTTTCAAGTGGTCACGCAGCCCATGCAGCCTGTGAAACAGTCCCCCAAGACTCCCCAGAACATCCCTGCCAGCCCCGTGGGAGATCGCTCAGCCCGGCACCGCTATGCCCAGATCCTCCCAAAACCCTCGGCCAGCAGCGCCATCACTCTGCGCTCCCCTACCACTGTGCTCATTACCAACAGCCCCATTAAGACTGTTATGCCAACACCACACATGAGCTCCGTCAACGTGGTGAAGATGACTGCAATATCCCTGACGCCCAACAACAGTGGCACCAACATCAGGCCTTCGTCTGCTGGCAACAGTGGGGCGGGACCCTCTGAGGAGCCCAGGCCTAGCCCCCAGGCTAAAAACGGCCCTGTGGTCTCCCTTCAATCTCCTGTAGCGAAATCCAGCAGCATGACCACCACTCCCACAATAGAGATCAAAATGGAGCCTGAAGCCATAGCTGATGACAGCCAGGCCCTCAGCACTGACAGGCTGACTGTGACTCAGGAAGCCACCGGTGGTCAGAAAAGTGACAGTGAGGGTGGTGCTAAGCTTAGGGCCGCGAGCGACCCCACCCCTCATGCCAAGGGATCTCCAGGTTGCGGCGATTCGAGAATTGATGGGACGACAAGCACCACATGTGATGCAAAGTCCCTTTCAAACAACACTGTGGCGGCCTCTGCTGGCAGCAATAATAACGAAAGCACTTTGACTCTTGCATTTTCTAATCAAAACACCAGCATGGCTTTGTCGTCCAATGGCAACACCGCTGCCAGTTCACCTAAGGAAAGCTGGTTGGGCTCCAAAAACCCTAGGAAGCGCTCCACAAGTTTAGTGTCTGAGTCCTCCACACTACCTGTCAAGAAGGTGTTCATCTCCCAGCAGCCATTTGTGTGTGCAGAAAGTCAAAAACCCTGCATCAGTCCCGGGCTTAAGAAGATTCCGAAGGTGGTAACACCAGCCAAGCCTGAAAGTACACCAGCAACTGCTTCTGGCAAAGTGACGGTGAAACTCAATTCCACTGCCCCCACGCGAATCTTGGCACTTTCTGACACTCCTATTGCCACCACCAGTGGCTTCCAGACTGTTGTCAAACCACAGACACCACAAGATATCAAAGTTAAACAAGAAGGAGCACCATCTAACATGGATACCAGCATTCTACCGCGTAGCAGCTCTGATCAAACATTATTGCAGCATATCACAAGTAACACCCAGGTTGTGTCCGTCAGCTCAGGCATGCTTGAAACTTCAGAGACTAATGACTTGAAGAACTCCATGTGGGAGGCTGGGCAGCTTGAAGGTGTACAGCAACAAGTTTACTCTCAGCATGTCCAGGGCCACAAGCAGGTTCAGACACCAGGGTTGGAGCCCCTTCCCATGATGTCCCAGGCTTCAGCTTCCAGTCAGTTGTCCCTCCATCCAGATATGGTTGACTTTGCAGGATCTCAGCCCAATGAAAACTATTTTCCTTTCGATGATGAGATGACCCAGGACAGTATTGTTGAAGAGCTAGTATTAATGGAAGAACAAATGAAGATGAATAGTAATTTGCAGCCTTACAGCAGTTGTATTGATATATCACTGCAGGGTCCGTCGACGGTTACCCAGGGGACGATCATGTCATCCCATCAAGTGGTTACATCTTTCTACCACTCAGCCCACAGCAGCAGCACGCCCATCCACACCCCGACTCCCACCCCGACTCCCACCCCTACTCCTACCCCAACTCCCACCTCAGAAATGATAGGGGGAGGCCAGGGCATGTCTCGGGAAAGCCCGTGCTCACGGATTGCCCCCACCACTCCAGTAGACAGTGCCCTGGGCAGCAGTCGCCACACCCCTATTGGGACCCCACACTCCAACTGCAGCAGTAGTGTGCCCCCCAGCCCGGTGGAATGTAGGAACCCTTTTGCTTTCACGCCCATCAATTCCAGCATAACTGGGTACCACGATGCCAGCATAGTCTCCAGTAGCCCTGTGAAACCCATGCAGAGGCCCATGGCTACCCACCCAGACAAGGCCAAATTGGATTGGATGAACAACGGGTACAACAGTGGAGGGGGAAGCTCTGCCATTTCAAACAACAGCATAGGTATCCTCCCCAGCTATCAGGATCTCGTGGATGACCACTTCAGGAAGCCACACGCCTTTGCCATTCCTGGGCAGTCCTATCAGTCCCAGTCAAGGCATCCTGATGCGCACTTTGGACGCCTGACGCCCATCTCCCCAGTGCAGCACCAGGTAGCTACCATGGGGAACCTCAACAAGCAGGAGGGTTTCGCAGTGCCTGCACCCCTGGATAACAAAGGGACGAGCTCGTCGACGAACAGCAACTTCCGGTGTCGCAGCGTCAGCCCGGCTGTCCGGCAGCGGAACCTGAGCGGAACGGTCTTCCCTGTGTCCAACATCCCTCGATCCAGCGTCAATCCTTTTAATACTCCTGTGACCCCCGAGGTGCTCAACATTTTCGCCAACAGCCAGTCAGATGGCAGTGCCAACAACATGGCTCAGAGGAGTCAGTCGGTCCCATTAACTGTGATGATGCAAACGGAGGTCCTGCCGGTGCAGAAACAGAGCAACAGCAAGAAGATCACCAACGTGTTGCTGAGCAAGATGGACTCGGACAGCGATGACGCAGTGAGGGGTTTGGGAATCAATAACATGCCCTCAAATTACACGGCCCGAATGAATCTCACCCAGATCCTCGAGACGACCCCCAGCTTCCCCAGTGCCAACCATCAGACTCTGGTGAACGCCAGCCCTTCTGTCTACGAATTCCAGAAGCCAAGTTACCTCATGAAAAACACCAGAAATGAACAGATCAGCTTCTCTTCTGGGGACGCCGAAGCACAATCAGATTCTGGAGAGCAGCAGGAGCAGCAGCAGGATCCAGAGCAGAATGCGCAGCAACTAGATATCAACAGCACTGTCAAGGACCTGTTGGGGGAAGATGGCCTTAACCCCAGCTCACAGCTGGTGGGCCAGGTAGCGTCTGAACTCAACGCAGTGGCATCTGATTTTCCCAATGACATCAGGTTTTCCTCTGAGCTCTCAAGCAGCATCAACGACCTGAACACTTTAGACACAAATCTACTGTTTGACCCCACTCGGCAGCAGGGACAATATGAAGATTCTACACTGGAAGAACTCAAAAATGATCCACTTTTCCAGCAGATTTGCAGCGAGACTGTGAATTCTACAACTTTTGACTGGCTGGAGAGCAAGGACCAGCCTACCGTGGAAATGTTGGGCTAATGTTTTGTTTGTTTTCTGTTTTTCTCTGTTTTTGTAATTATCCACATGAACGTTGTATAGCACACTGCATCAGAATCTGGACACATTACATTTGTCCAGTGAGAAGTGCCACCCTAAACAGAAACAATCGCTCTTACACATACATTTGAAAAAGATTTGCTACATCAGAGCATATTGCTGTTGGTGTGTACCTGTTCCCTCAATCCTTTCCTCAGGAAAAGGAAGGAGACATGAAGTGATGGCAGTTATGAATCTGTACCATATAATGTATAAAGTTGAAAGGCATATTTGCATTTGCATTGGAAATATGATTTTTAGTGTAACATTTGTGTGGTGATTGGATGGCTTTTCTTTTACCCTTGAACTTCTCTTTTCTGCTGTCAGACTGTTGAACTCCTAAGATCATTATTTGTCAATATGGAATTTCATGAGATGTTTCCAGCACAAAATCAATAAGCTGTTTTTGACTGTTCTTCATAGGATTTTTTTGTTTTTTTTTCCTCTAAATAGGAGTTTAAATTGGTCGTATTTGTGCCGACAACTGTAATTTCCTGAAGTGCAGTCATAATCTACTTAAAAAGCCCGTCACACGAGAGCTTGTGACTTACCCGTTCTTCTTAAAAAAAATTTTCACCTAGGGAGAAACCTTTAATGGAAACCAGGATGCCTGTGCATTCAAACAAATATTTAAAAAAAACACGACTTGTACCTTTCAGCTGAAATCCCTGTGAGGTGAGTGGCATTATGTGGGAGAAAAGTTATAAGCAGGTCTTTTTGCTTTTGTCTTCATAGCATTTCAGGTCACCAAGAGCATCATGTTGCTGTCAGGTGCTGAATTAAATACGAAGATTTAGTGACGTACCAAATCAGAGGCAAACCGTTAAGTATGTTGCAGTCTGTGGGAATTAATGAATTATCAATTAAAACCTCTACTTACTAGCACTGTTTATGTTTGGGAAAGGGAGGTAATTGTTTATAGAGGAATATTGTTTTTATTTTTCTAAAATTGGGAAATTGAGGGAAGAATTTATAGCTATTTCTGTCTAGAACAGGCAAAACGTTCAAGGTCTTTGCAGTTGCACTCATGAGTTTCAATTGTATTCTGTTTGTACAATTCAAACTATCTTTGAACTACAGAGATGTAAGGCAGCTTTTACAAAACTACAATAAGATATACTTTTAAAGGATGATGAAATAATTGATGAAATATTCAAAGAATCTTCATTGATTTGGTTGAGATTAAATCATTTTCTTGATTTTTACATTTTTAGAGGATGCAGGATATTTGCCAGGTTATGTGTATTTTGCTTTATTATGCTCATCAATAATCCCTTTGCAACTGTGCACATTTTTAAACTGAATTGATCTATATAGCGTTGTTTTGCTATGCACACTGAAAAAACATATAGTCCAGATTGTTTTTAGAGTAGTGTAAAAATAAACAGTGTTGTGTTTATGGTGCTGGGAGACATGCGTAGATTGATTCAGACAGTACATTCTCAAATTTGACTTTTCAGTCTTTTGAATGAGTTTATGCATTAATTGTAAATTCTTGATATGTCTCAGTACGTGTGGAGAAATGAGGCTTTAAAATGAGAATTGGTAAGTTAAATGTAAACCAGTGTGGGTTTAGCAAATCTGCAAAGTTGGAAAATCTAAATTCACATTATCATATACGGAATTAGTTCCATATCATTTAGCTGTAAGATTAGGAGAAAGTTATTTTCTACAGAGTACTGCCTTTATTTGTCACACTGTAAATTTAAGATATTTTGTCCCTGTGCATTTCCCCACTTACACGTTGAGAACACAGGAAGCATGCTAAAGTACGAAGTCACCCTGATCTCACACTCAGCTGCAGCTGAATCGGCAGTATGTACATTTTGTGAGCAATCTGCAGCTGGATACTCTCTATTGCAGTATTGTCTCCCTTCGTTAGATATCTAAGGCTTCCAAAGTAATGAGGAAGACTAAGTAGCAGAAAAATGTTTGATTTCTGTCTTTAATGAAGACAACCCAGGTAAAACGTTTACTATGTTTTATGAGCATTTCTGCCTCAGGTGTGTTATAGGTTAATGATGCACAGGCCCAAAATATTACGTTGCTACAGTGGATATGAAGTAAAAGGAACCTGTGGTTGCTTGTGTGACACTAACTGAGATTAGTGACAATGAAGGATAAGCAGCAAAGATGCCTGACTGAACTCCAGCCATATGTGTGATTGTAAGGATCATTGTTTTATTTCCCTGCTTGTAGTTATAATAAGAGAATCTGACTCCCCTGTGCATTTCCCATTGGACACCAACCTAGAAGTTTCTCGTTTGGTTTCGCGATGGAGAAACAATTAAAATGGGCCTAGTCGAATTTTCAAAACCAAGATGCGCGGAGATGAAAGTTTTTAATTGGTAGGCTTCTTGATGCAGACCTTTCTTGATAAAAGCTTTCTAGCTACGCTGAAATTACAGTGAAACATTGTCTTCCTTGACCACCTAAGGGTACTTTGCAAAGTTTGACTGTTGTGTTTGGTAATTTTATCAGCTTGAGACTTAGGCTTTATCACGATTTTGTGTGTTGCAATACGGATTTTTAGACTCAGTACTACTCAGCCTTATGTCCATACCAAAGAAAAGCTGTTAAACTTGATACTTTAGGAGATGGACTCTATGGTTATCAAGTGATTGCCCAATAACTCCCGCTTTCCACTATAGTAAAAGGGTGATTTGTTTTAATGTACACAGTTTGACAGACTTCTGGTGCTGAGCTAAAGGTAAAGGCTTCTGTAGTAATGGGTATTAATAAACATAACTTTTAAAGTGGGCAGCTTCTCTAACATTTTGCTAAAAAGCATGTAGAAATAATGTAGCAGGTTACTAATCCTCTCAAATTGGTATATTGTTCTAAGTTTTTCATTCCTCAGTAGTCCTGAAAAGAATGAATTGAGATACTATTTTAAGAATCATACTTCTGAACATGTTGTGCACCTTCAAAATATAGCCTGCTGACCATTTGGATCTGTAGCAAGCTCAGTATAGTGAGATTTTCAATTCTAGTCCCTTATTGTATACAGAATAGCTTCCATTTGAGCTGTAGTTTGGTGATTGTCTAATTTTTAAGAGAATATTTTAAAAAGGTAATTAAGATTTTAAAAGGTTGCATATCTTCTATGACAGATTTTGTGCCCGAACTTTGCAGCAGACACTGGAAATTCAATGTTTCAAAGTTCAGCAAGCTTTCTGAGGTTCAATTATTGCACTAACCTTTTTAAGAACCTAGGGTTTGGCACCTCTTTTAGGACAAATGCAACAATTGAAGCCTGCAAAAAATATTTTTATAAAGAGCTTAAATGATTAAAAAGGTGAAGTGTCATCAAAAAATGACAACTTTAATTGTCTTATGTAGCAATGTGCATTGATCTCAATGAGATAATTCTTTTACTCATTCTCATACATGAGAATACAAAACAGGATTTAAAAAAGAAAAAAAGGTTTTCTTCACCATGTTGATACATGATCACAAGTGTGCATGTGTATTGAATTCTATTGTACAGTACTAGATATTCTTCGTAACCACTTTCTATGCTGTAATTAAGACTGGTTCTGTTAACCAGAGAGGTTAAGTTACTCACATAACAAGTTACTTATGTTGTTTGATGTTTACTAATTCAAATTAGTACTTGTTAAGTATGTTCAGCTTTTGAATTCTGTTCTGTTGATTTGGTGTTTTTCTTTTTACTTTTTTTAAAAATCTGAAACAGTTTGAATTTATGTGAGTAAAGTTTTTTTTTTTGCTAAAAACCATTAAAGTAAGCACTGATGTCTGGACCTTGGTGAAGAAGGAGCTAGGTTTTCTTCTAGGAATGCACAAGAGCTTCATTCAGTAGTAATACAAGTTCTCCCATGCTGTAAGTTTTCACTGCTCCGGTAGAACCCCTGTTACCAGCATTTCATTTAGAGTAGCTGGATAATCTCCGTCAGTGTTACTGTTGTCCGTTGTACAGCTGAACGTACAGTAGTTCAAAAATGTTGCGATAGCATTTCAGCAGTTTTTTGTTTTTCTTTTCTTTTTTAATTGAAAGTGCTCACAAATGTTGAGGTTTTCTAAGTGGTTTTAAAAACCAATAAAACTTTTTTTTTAAAGAAGCTGTATTTTTTCTTGCCTTTTTTTTCTTTTGGTGTTCCATAATCCCAGTATTTCTTGACATTCTCCAATAAGAGGAAGAAATTGAGAGTAGAATGCGTGTTCCCATTTGCTCGATTTTGTGGAAGATTTACAGGAAGACCAGCACTGCTTGGACTGAAGGAGTGATTCACCATTATTAACAGGCAGCTATACTTGTGTGGCCACACTGGACCTCATCTTCCAGATACTCTACAAATAAATATTCAGACATTTCAGAGGACGATCTTGTGTCAAATGTTCAGCTCAGTTTATTTGTCATATGCAGAAGTGCAATGAAATGCTTATTCTAAAAATTAATTAATGTGTTATATATACAGTATATACAGGAACAATGGTGATTTATTTTGTGGTTTTAAAATAAGGTTATCACAATTTGTGTAAGATGCTTGGAGCATTTCATGATAATTCCTGACACGATTACTTTTTCCCAAACTGGAATGTAGAGGATCTCCATTGGTGGTTTGTGGGTTAAACTTGTTCAGTATAGAACAAAACTCTATTGTAATACATTACTTGGAAGTGATCACAGTAATAAACACTCTGCACCTTTAGCAGGTGTCATCTTAAAAAAAAATCACATTTTTAAAGGTAGATGTTCTGTTACACTAATTCCTGCACTGCTATAAAGCAATCCTAATCAAATGCTAACCGAAATATGATGAGAATACAGAAATGGACAGATTATTGAGCTACCGCTTCAATATCAGAGCACACTACACACCTGCTGTATAACATTACTGAAATTACACCAGTATCATGACTGAATTATATCTACAACTCATCCCAAATCAAACTGTCTGAGCAGAGTTTGCTCTGATGTTGCTGTGGTGCTGCTAGGTTCTTTAGTAACATCTGTGAGGAACAGGTAAAGCTGTTATTTTATTACTCATCTCCTATGCCATGGCTGGCTGCCCCTCGCTACGACGCGCTTGAATCCAGACACAGTCAATATATACCCATGCAGACCAAAACTACCTTCTCCTCGGTCTAGAGGTTTTGTAGGAGTAGTGTCCCCTCCCAGCCACTTAAACGCTTTAGGATCTTTTGGGAACGAAAGCGCTATACAAGTACATCTTTCTGGGGAAGTTCACTGAAAATATACAAAATCTCCGGTTATAAACGATATAAGGATGTTCCAGGGCACCACAACAAGCCTTTCGCTCGGATTTCACCGCAGTTAGTCTTAGAAGCTGCTGCAGGAATTAGTTTACACAGGATGGCGCTCCGGGACCTGCTTCGCTGTAGACCATCGCACCAGGAAATGTGAGACGTCCTCGCAGTTGTCACTCTCCTTTTTTTTTCAGAAGGGGGAGACACAAAGGCGCAGCTAGTTTGTAAACACAGATTGCGGCGGATCGGGAACGGGCAACAATGCAGATCTAACGCTGCTGTCGCCATCTGTCTGGAAGGGAATGACCTCAAGAGCGGCCGAGTTTGAAGTTGGTGACTTCAAAGTAGATAAAGTGAGCAGCCTGATTCGTCTTTGAAGAACTCTGTTTAGAAAATGATGCCTGACAAAGATGAACGTGATGTTGCAGCGAAAAATACAAACGTTACGTTATTTTTTCCTCCTTATGGCTCTGTTAGGCAGCGCTGTGAAGCTCTCTAGTGCCCTCTGCCGGATAACTTGCATTTCCAGTTGAACCACAAGCCTTGCAGCGATGCGGTCAGTATTGTGTCTGGCCCAAGAACAAAACTAATGCAAATATACTCACTTTTAATATTAAAGTTTTGTCCAATAATTTTTAAGTCTCTGAATCTTTTGTAATTCGATCCGATGAGTAAGCCACATATGAATTTCATTGAATGTGCATTTGACACTACCCTTCTTCAGAACATATCTCAATTTAATTTATATTGAAATATAGTTTTAATGGAGCAGCATGTTGGCTGCTGGGGCCCTGGGTTCAATTCCAGACCTGGGGTGCTATTTATGTGGAGTTTGTATGTTCCCCCTGTGTTTGTGTGAGTTTCCTCCCACAGTCCAAAGATATGCTGGTATGTTAATATGCCTATGGGAAAACTGGCACTGGAGTGAGTGTGTGTATGTTTGTGTCTGTGTGTGCCCAGGGTGTATCCTGCCTTGTGCCCATATCTTGCCAACTTAGGCTCCAGCTCTCCTGCCATCCTAAACTGGATGAAATGAATGAGCACAATTTAGACATGTTAATTATAAACTGCTAATATAGCAGATAAAGCCAGAGAGCTTTGTTTTGTGATATTTGTTCTCTGCTTTCTAATCTATATTTTTTAGCTTTATGTTCTCTTTTGAGTGATAATAGTTATCTGTCCGTTCAGTGCTTTACTACAAAGCAAAGGCAATTGTTTCTTTCAACTTCATCATCTTTTGGCAGTTGTTGGATAGATACCAGACCAGTCAGACCAGTAGGTCCCGGCTCAGCCTGTAGTTGTCTTCTACGAAAAACCACCAAGACTCAGCCCAGCCCCTCTCCTGGAACAGCCTGCTGTAGATTCTCTCCAGAGCACCGAGAAAATGAGCAGATTCCGCAGTTGTAGAATGCAAAGTAAAACTCAACATCCCTCAACACATTAATAATAGTCATTAAGTTATTGTATTTTATGTAGCACCTACCATCCCAAAGCACTTTAGATATAGGAGGGGACCCACGTCATCCAACCCTGACGTGCAGCCCCACCAGAGTAGCGGGTGACGGTGTTTGTGTGCCCGCCACACCACTGCACAGCAGATCAGGTAGGGAGACATTCTGCAGAGAGTGGACATGAGCTAGGACACTGCTCTTGCACATGGTGCCATGCAATCTTTAATTCCAGGCAGGAGCTTTTTAACGTCCCCTACACCACTGTGTCCCTGGCCAGGATACCGGGGCTTTGGCTTGGAAGCTTTTTCACAGGGAGGAACGCCACCTCCTGGTCACAGCTTTGACAGACACATCTTACTTCTAAGTATAACATACAGCCGACTTTGTCCATGAGTAATGAGGTGCTATGAAGAAACAAATGTGCATTCCACGTTAGATTAATCGCAGCCAGCTGTTGTGAAATTCCCTCTTCCCTTTCCCCTGCTTGAATTTGCTAAAAGATGCTTATAGCACTGGTTCTTTCTACTATATAGCACTTTACCACTACTATATAGTAGTGTAATGTTGATTATACCACTGGTTCTTTCTCTTAAGCATTATCCACTTCTAGTGTTTTTAGGTGTGATCTGCTGATAGGAGTTTCATGTCCAGCTTATACCCACAGAAGTAAACGAGAGTAAACAAGACCATATTAGCCTCTCCTAATGGCTCTTCAGAGCTTTTCTCCCACTGGGGTGACAGTGTCTGATTGTCCACTCAGAGGTGGAATGGAAGTTCACCTTGAAGGAAGAAGTCAAGTGAGCTTTTACAAAAGCAAAATTGAGCTTCTGATCAAGTCCTTCTGTGGCATCCATTAGAGCTGGAATCTAACGTGGAACCAAACATACCCAAAAATGGGTACGGTCAGGCACAGAGCATGTCCGTGCATGTGTAGTTTTCAATCCCATATTGCTGTGGTATGTAAACAAAGACTCCAGAGCTGTGAGAGTAGAAGAAAGACTGTCTGCTCCATGAGCTGCACAATGCAGAACAATGCAACACTCTGTCTGGCCAAGAAAGGAAATGTCATAGGAAGCCAGCAGAGTTTTGACAGAGGAAAAGCCCTCCATGACTAAACTGCCACCAGAGCAAAAAAACAGCCACTGGCGTTTGCTGTGCAGACCGCAGGAGAGATCACGGTAAGAAGCCTGCACTTTTTCAGGCCAGTTGTTTTTTGGTACACTCCGTGAAGAGTTTGTTCAGAACACAACAGGAAGTATTTATTGTCAGTGAAATGAAATAGGAAAGCGTTTATGACAGTGAAAAAGAAATAGAAGTCAACTAAAGAGATTTTTTATTCTGCCTCCATAGCGTGGCTCACCAGTGTTATACAATTATTTCTACAGAGACTCTAACCTACTGTAGCTCCCCCCAGAAACTCATCCCTTCAAAATCAGCATGATTTTAATTTCACTTGAGCCTTTTTTGTCTGATTAAAGCTGTGATTTACTCAGTTTGACCAGTTCCAGCATAGCTCTCTACATGATGCTGGTAGTGTTTTAAAGAGACTTAAAGGAATGGCCTGACTATGTTATTCGATATTAGAAACCATGTAATCTTCGTTTACTTCCTCAATTCACAGTTGCAATTAATCTTTCTGCTGGAAGGAGCTAAAGGAGTTAACACCTTTAGGCAACAAGGGAGGTGTACTGTATGCTATGTGAAATTCTCAGTAGAACTAAAAATAAAATGTAGACCGTTCCAGATAACTACTAAGAGATCTGAGTGCTCGTAACCTTCTCCTCAGATATACACATTTTTATACTATTTAATATAATAATCACCAAACATTACGTTACTGAGATAATGAAGAAATCAAGTGAAGTACTATACTGAATACAGGTGCGACCTTCCATCAGGAAACTGAACTCCTCCCGAGGTTACATTTCCTAAAATAATTACATTTCCTTTCCGACGTCTTCTAGATACAGAAATACACTTCTGCTGGTTGTACGGTCCACTCTGACGCTTTCATTTAGAAACGCAATGGAAACGGTTTGGAATATAATTGCATTCATAACGATAATAAAGGTTTAATCCTCCCACACCGAGGGTCTTGGGGACGGGCGGGGGTGTACTGGAAAGCGTCGAGTCGCACCAAGAGAGAGACTGCAGGATCTAAAGAGAGACTGCCGGAAAATGACACAGGCGAGAGGAACGAGGAAGTTACACGGCAGCCTGGAGCGGAAAGGACCTTCTTCCTGCGGACGCCACCGAGGGGCGGGCAGAGGAAAGGATGGACACAGAGTAGCTCGTCTGTCAAATCAGCAGCCCGGCACGGTTACATGAAATCGCTGAAAGCGGATGAGAGAGGCAGAGAGATATTGGTGATTTTTTTTTTTTACTTCTCTTGCTTTACA